CCCCAAAACCCCAAAACCCCAAAACCCCAAAACCCCTTTGATGCACCTGATGTAGAGGAGGTAAATAATAATATTAAGAAAATGGGTTCTTAACCTGAAGATCTATTTGATCCCTGCGAACTTCTTCCAGTCCCTTTTCTCCTCGTTTTTCCTTCCTGTGGGAGTTTTTCTCGATTGGACTGCTGTCAAATCCTTGTGAGAGACCTAGTGATTCTCTTGTCTTTTTCTTAGATTCCGGTCTTTTCTTTCTAGACAAATTGTAATTCAAGATTGAAGAAGGTTTTAAATTGGTAAGAATATTACCTGTTATCATAACTTTTGAGATTCTGTTTTGTCAATTTCCCCTTTGGTTTTATTCCCTCTTTGAGTTTGACCTCTTTCCTAAAGCCAGTATTCATGTAATTCTTGAGACCTTTTTCAATTAGGTCTTCGAAAGGAGAAATCTCCTTTCCTTTACTGAGAGCTTCTTTCAACTTCTTTTTATGATAATTTGCAGAATCATCGATCCTAGTATTAAGCGACTCGCTGAGGATGTTGGACTCTTCATCCTCTGTAGCAGTATAGATTTCATTAGTTTCTTCTTGGCCAATGTCGATGTCATCAATGCCGATGTCATAGTCATCATCGAGTTCTTCCTCACTCTCTTCAGAGTCTGTGCTTGACTCTAGCATTCTTTGTTCAATGATTTTCTGAAGAGGGTTTGAATCAGAGCTGTTTCCATCAGAGCCGTTTCCATCTAGTTTAAAATCTCCTTTGTGCAAGATCGAGCTATTATCCGATTCTTTCCGAGAAATGGTATATTCCTCGTCTTCAGAGTCATCCTGAATTATCTCGTTTCTCAACTGGTTGACGCTATGTCTTAACTTCTGGGAGCCCTTCATCTCTTTCTTACTTTGTAGAGGGGATTCATTTATTGAAAAGTCTAGCTTTTTCTCCTTTGACCGTTTGAACAGATTTTCATTTTGAATTTGTTTCTTGACTTCTTTCCTCCATTTCTTAGTTATGAGGGATGTTCTTTTCTTTTTAATAACATTAGCAAGACTAGATTTAGACTCAATGTAAGTATCCTCACTCATCTTGTTCTTTTTCTTAAGCTGACGGGCTCCTTTAGGGTTCTCCTGAGAAGACTTGCCAACACTTGATCCATCCTTGAGCTTCTCTAGGGTAGCTTTCCGGTTGAAGATATTGCTAGCTTCCTTAGTGAAGCTATTGGCTCCTTTCTCTTTGAAGTGGTTTGACCTTTTGATCTCCTCTTTAGACTTCTTTTTGTACTTTAGCAATGCTTCCTTCTTATACTTGCTATCTCTTCCTCTAGACTCGAAGAAGCTGATGTTGTTGTCAGTGTTCTTCTTCATATGCTTCTGAGTAGAATAGAATGAATCTGCGACATTTGTCTTAACTTTCTTTTTAGGCTGGGCTACTTTAGCTCTTTTTGATCCCTTCTGCTTCATATTTTCATGTACTTTTGATCGTTTAATTGTGGTTACTGAGGAACAGTTTTCTACTATCGCTGAGGATTGGTGGATACTGTAGTCCTTCGCAACATGTGTCTCAAGTTCGTGCTCTGACTATTATGGTTAGCTTATACTCCTTACCGCATGCTTTGCAATTGGGAAGTTCAACCTGGATTGATCTTTACTTGTGTTTATTGAGGAGACTTCATGCTTCATAGAATTATTGAATTTCTGGGGTGGCCTTTCCTTAATGGTTGTATGATTCCGATCTGGATTAACAGGTACCCCATTGACTCTTGGCATTGTAGGGGACACTGTATTATCTCTCCTGTTAAACTTTTTGCCAAGAAGAGACCCTTGGCTATCATTATTGCTGATATTCCTTCTTAGCTTAATATGAGAATGACCATTTTTAAATAATTTATGAGGGGACTGCATGTAGACTCTTTCGAAGATTCCTCTGTTAACTCTTTTGTTAGACTTTGATCTAAATTCCTTTCTCACTACCTTGCTAAACTTAGGTTTCTGGTTGATCTCTTTGCTGTTCTTATTGCTTTTGAAATTATTTGATGTCAGACTTGGGTCAATGTTGTTCTTGACTCCAATTATAGCACTGTGGTTTGGATTCTTGCCATAGTTATAAGAGTTAGCAGTGATTAAGCTCTCATCTTCATACTCATTATTGGTCAAAAATGCCTTCTTAGAATTCTTAGTGTTGGTATAATTAGCTATTGTCGAATGATTACTTGCACCTGATATATTTTTCTTGTTTCCTAATGAAGCTGTTCGATCAATTGTAATATTACTTCTGGTGTTCATTGAAGGCCCGATATTACTATATGGCTTTGCATAGTTATCTTGGGCACTGAGATTGTTCTGTGCCTGGAGTTTTCTCCTTCTCTGAACAGTGTTGCTTCTTCCAACCAAGTTTTTGAAATTTGAATCAGCATATTCTATTGTCTTTATTCTTTCCTTCAGGTTCGAACGGTTATTCCCTGGCTTTGGTCTTCCTTGGCTGATACCATAGTTAGGAGTTGTTTTCTTTATACTATTCCTATTTTGTCTAACAGCAGGAGGGCCAGTTGACTGAGGATTGTTCCTGCTGTCCTTAAGCTTGGGTGCAATAGTACCCCTCTTTCTACTGTTAGTCCTTGACCTAGGATTTATTCTGGCATTTTTGGGATAATAAGGACCTGTATTGTTAGTGTTAGGTCCAGGATATGCATAATTATTACCACTAGTCACATAATTCGAGGTAAGCACTCCAACTTTTCTAATGTTGCTGAAATACTTTTTGGTTGCTTGATCGTTGTCATTATTCGTATATTTCTTTCCTCTATTGTTTCTAACTGAGGAAGACTTCCTGCTCATTGAGTTTACCTGCTTAGCCTTGACCTTCGGATGGCTAAGCTTCATATTCTTCTTGACAAACCCTCTGAACCTTGGCTGGGAAGGTGAGGGATTTCCGAGGTAGATGTTCTGAGGTCCTTCAATAATTTTACTAATATCTTTCTTCTTGCCCTTATTTTGTTTTATATAACCCATCTTTGGCTGTTGTCAAGTATGAACTATTATTGCCATGCGCAAGAGTAGGAGGGGTTACATCCGGTCTTATTCCTGCATAATTATAGAAATTAATATGATTCTCCCCGTATTCATGCAGAGAGGCCCCTGGCTTCCTCTTTTCAAGTGACTTTGCCATCTTGCTATCTTTTTAAATAAAAATTTCTATTATCAATTTAAAACTCCATAGATGGGGTTTTGGGGTTTTGGGGTTTTGGGGTTTTGGGG